TGTTTAGCTTTGATAGTGTTATGGTGATGGACTACTTTTCCGGGTTAATAGCTATGACTCAAACAGGACATTTTACGGTAGGGGACACGCACCTTTCCCCTTTTGTACAATAGCCAAAAAAGAAAACTTCATCCTTGAGGCATGGTTTCAAGTGAATACACCAGTTCAACTTATATCCATAAGCTTCAATGGGATAGAATGATCAATGGATTCTTGACCAGATTATGTAGAAGGTATTAGTTTTGTTTTATTGATTTTATAGGTTTCCAAGTTGAGTTAGGGTTGTAAAACTTATTCAAAGCCAGGTCGGATGTAAATGGTATACCAGTACCTCAATACCAATTTTTATTTTGGCTGTAAATCGAAATCAAACGTTTGTGATCTTGTAATTCTTTTTTCCTTGGGTTTTCTCATTCTTTTAAACTTACTAGCTTGTACAGTAGTGAACAAATCGCCTAAAAAGGGTTACAAATCGACAGCTTATTTTTACTTCACCACCTGGACTTGTTCATATATGCAACCGTCAGTCTTTCTTGAAAGATGGTAGCAAAGGGCATATCGATCCTAGAATAAAATTTGACTGCTGAGTATGACTCTTGACACTTGATAGAAACCATCACACACCTGGAATAAGCTCTTTGCGTAATGAACAATACCAACATATTATAATTCATAAATATGTATGCGTATATATACTTCTTGACTGTTAATATAATTATAAACTATGAACCGTTGGATATATCGTCTTTTTTAAGTTTGAAAGTCCTTTTATATAACGTACAAGTATAGTCTGAAAGGAAAATTACAAATCCTAAACATTAAAAACCATGCTCCTAAAGTTAATTATGTCCCTAAAAAGTCCACCTACAAAATGAATTTAATCCCATAGAGTCATCACCTTTATTGATTGAGATAATTCAATCAGTACATGGAAATTGGCCTTTCGGAGCTAAAGTGAACATTCCCCATTAAAGTGTTTTGCTCATAAATTTCTGATATACCCAAAAAAAAAAAAAAAAGAGCTTTGCTCATAACTTTCCCATGTACCCAAAAAAAAAAAAAGGGTGTTTTGCTCATGGTGTCACTCTCATGTCTTGCATGAAAACCATATTGCCTTGCCTTTATTTTGTATATTTATGTTTCTTCGTGACTAAATTTTAATTCCAATTAACCTCTAGGGTTATTGTTTCCAACTTAAATAATTCCCATACACCTTGCATCTTTATGCATGGATATACTTTAGGTTTCAAATTTTGTTTAAATTATTTCAACCTTGGAAAAATTAAACGAAACACAATTAAGGATAATATAGAAATCCCTTGCGTAGATAACAAAGGTTCAAGGATCTTGAATTATTTATACTAAGCAGTGGATTAGACGGATCTTCTTCTTTCATAGTTGTCTTCCATGTTTGGCTCCGAAACTATATTTTATATACTAAAGACGGTCACACGAAGGAACCGCGACATATAATCTTTTTTTAAATTGTCCCAATTGTAAGCTATTGTCGTGATCGAAATGTAATTAAGCTACTCACATAAGTTTTATTAGGTAACAAATTGTTGGTATGTGCGCATGGTTTTCAGACGCTCTCGTTGGTTGTTGGCTTAATTAAATAAATGAAACTGTTAAGCACCCAAATAACCAACATGAATTCTTCTCTTGATCCCTCTCATTCCTACTAGTTTGACATGTTATTTTCATTCTGACAAGACTTGACAGCTCATGCTAATGTATACACAATATTTTCTAGTACTGGATCCTAATGTATATACAATATCTTTGAAAAGACTAACAGCTAATGTTTCGAAAGAATGTTTGTAAATGTAACTTCATGACAAGTTCCGTAATGTGACAGGCATTGTTTCTAACATCTTCTGCTTAAACTCTTATGAGGAAAGCCAAGTCTGCTCTCTGGGGCATTCAAAACATTTCTGTGAAATCTGGTAACCAGAAAGGATACAGATGTATACTTACAAAACTTAACATCAATCCAGCAACAAAATTAAGCAATACTCAAATAGGTAGTATTACAGAATCATCACCTGGGATTAGGGGACAGTTTCTGTCTTAAAGAATGGATAATCCAATGCCCCGACTGCTTTATTATTTTCATTGTAGTTGACGTGGTCCTTTATTTTGCAAAACAAAAAAAAAATACTCAGAATACACAACTGTCATGCTTTAATATGTACAATAAGCTGTCAAAACTCTCGGACCGATCATCTTGCTGCAACAAAGCAAGCATAGGAATGAATCTAATGGAAATTTAGGTCTCTGTCCACTTGGAAGACTGTCTGTAAGAAGAAAAACTCTTTTAATACGTCCAAATATCGGACAAGAAGATACAAATCAGTTGTTGAATAATCCAAGAAAATCTGCATTATATTTGTTAGCCTCAAATCATGATGGATTCTAATAAAGATTATTAATATTTTTTCACCTAGGGTGAACAGTTGCACAAAGAATTGGATGTGAGGGGTGAAAAGCCGTGAGGGTTTGACTCTTTCCATGTTTAATCTTCCTCCACCACAACCCTCCCAGCATGCCTAGTACTGAACTGAGCCCCACCACAATACTCCCCACAATAAAATGGAAAAAGTCCTCAAGTTGGCAAGATCTTGAACTTGTCACAACGCCCTTCAAATCATATAAAATCTAGAGACCAACCAATCATGTAGTTTTTTTGTATGTGCATGCTGTTAGTACTTCATGATGAAGACTTTAAAGGAACAAAAAGTAGTGCAAATCCCATGCCGCTTTCCCACCCAATTCCTAAGAAAATAATGTTCAATACTAAGTTGAAAAGGTCGCAATTCTCATTGTGTGACATATTTTAATAGAATATCCCATTTTTAATTAATTTCTTTTTCTTGTGCAATAAATTGTTTTGAATGCTTGTTTTTCATATCGTGGAATACTTTAGAAATGGAAAGATTCCATTTCTTGGGAACTGAGACGACCACTTGCTTTTTAATTCAAGAATCTGTACCTAGGTGGTGCTTAGTCAAAAATATATGAAAGGAGGGATGTCACAAAAAAATTTATATATTCATTCAAATAATTTCTTTCGGGGGTACGTTTATTAATTTATCTATAAAATATGCTTTTGTAACTCCAATTATTGTGTGGTTAAGCTGCTGGTGCATGCATCTATATCACTGATGGGACTTTTGAGCATGCAAAGGGCGGAAACTCTATGTAGAATGGTCGGGGAAATTAGGGATATAGTGAGATTACTTTAGGCATAAAGTGAAAATCGTGAGCTTAGACTACGGAGACCTTTGAATAATTTACCAAGCAACTACATGTTGTGGCCCATTTTTCTTTTTGCATTATATGCAAGACAAGTGTGAGAATTGGGGGCCTGGCTTGAGGACCCTCCTCAACTCTTGCCCCTAGTTATTTCTGATTCTCTTTTTTTCACTAAATCACAATGAGTTGAGTAAAACCAAAGCAACATATTTAGTACACGAAAAGAAAAGAAGAGAACGAGTGAAACGAGAGTAATATAGTTTTAAGGAGACACCAATGTTTATCGTACTCAAAATTGAGGAAGTTTGTACTCTAAGGACCACATGTTACGTTTACCTGTAGAATATTGTGGTCCACGGTCTACCCAATTCAATTATTAAGATGAGGACCTTCAGATTTTTCTAGTGACATAAAAGGGTCCTGGTTAGTTGGAAAGAATAGAGAGAAAATGGTTGAGATTAGAGGGAGGGGCAAGAGCTTTGCCCTTGAACTGATTTGCGCAGTTTTGATCAAAAAAAAAAAAACTGATTGTGGGCAGTGGTGGAATACAAATTAAACCCTATGTACATATTATTCTTATGGGATTTGGGTTCAACAAAACATTTATTCCCATAAGGATGTCTACATTTGGTAGGTCATTACCCATTAGGTGCTCCTAATCTTAAATGAAATTTCAACATCCACAAAAGAACTGTCTTTTGATACTTTTTAAATCATTGGTGCTTAAACACCAGAACTATCACGACCCATCTACTTTGTAGTTGATTACCAAATATGAGAATATTTTATCACCAACTTGTTCAATTATTGCTTCATTTCATAGACATAGCTAATGTGCATCTTTCATCTTATCCAAGCACTCCATAAATTAATAGCAGAGACCCTAATGCTACTTAGGGAGATCCCTAGAGGAGTTTCAATTACATTGTCATGTGCCCTATCGTCTCGATTTTTTTCATAATGGATAAGCTTCTACTGAATTATTTGAGATCATAAATCATTTTCTAAATCTTTAACAAGATGGTTGACCCTTTGAATCTGGTTCAGCAGGTTACTTGATTGGAAATGATGGTATCTAACTGACAAGGTATTAAATCGTAACTCTATGTTTATTTGGTTTAAAAACATAGTACAAATGGTGATCATTTGTAGTACTTGGAAAATAATGACCAAAATTGGAGGAAAACACATGTGGAAAGTACAGATCAGCCAGTAAGCGAATTCTTGCTTGCAAATGAAGTATGGGGCGTGTGTGTGAGTGTGTGTGAGAGAGAGAGAGAGAGAGAGTTACTGAATTGTGAATTAAAATAGATTAGAGTTATTGAATTGTGAGTAGATTATGTCAAGAAAGGTGATAGTAAAAGCAAAGAAAGAAAAGAAACCTAGTCAAGAAAGGTGATTGTAAGGTAAATAAAGGAAAACCTAGTCGATAAAAGGTAGACAAATAAACGTAAAAGGAAGAAAAAAAATCTGGTCAACAAAGTAAAAAATGTCAACCTCTTGTGTGACATAAATTTTTTCGTTAAATATGTGTTACATAAATTTGCTAGTTGTACTTCCACCCAAAGTCTACGTTTCCAGAATGCCCAAGATTTATTTATCCCCCCTTCCCACCCACCTTTCTCTCTCTTCTCTCTCTCTTAAACGGCACTATAAAAGACCCACTAGGACCTTCTCTTCAAACTCCCCTATTCTCTCATTTTTCGATATCTTTCTCCTTATTGCATAGCCATAGAAAAAAAAATATGGTGGTGGCTAATCCAAGCCCAGTTCGTAGTGAAAAAATCCAAGTATTTGACCTTCCGATCATTGACCTTTTGGCCGAAAGATCAGAGGTGTCAAGGCTCATTGTAAAAGCTTGTGAAGAGTATGGTTTCTTCAAGGTCATCAACCATGGTGTTCCCAAGGATGTTATAACAAAAATGGAAGATGAAAGTAGTGAGTTTTTTGAAAAACCAGCCTCGGAAAAACAGCTAGCTGGGCCGCCTAATCCGTACGGGTATGGCAGAAAGAACATCGGCTTTAATGGAGATGTTGGAGAGGTTGAATATCTTCTTCTTGATATCAACCCTGTCTCCATAATACAGGAATCCAAGTCTGTCGCCAATGACCCCTCAAAATTCAGGTACTAAACATTTGGTTTCAGCCTCCCTCTCTCTTTCTCTCTCTCTCTCTCTCCCCCCATTTGTTCACATACACATAAGTAGGTATAGATTTTATCTGTGTGTCTGTGTTCGAATGGGTATGTTTTGAGGCTGCAACTTTTAAATATGGTCATGTGATTTTTTTTTTTTTCATTCCAAGCACGGGCTTGTGCATCGTGAGAACTATCTAGGCAGAAAAATCAATGCATGTGTGTGATTCTTGGAATTCTTGATTAGTTTCATACTCTTGATCTTCTAGAAAGCTCACGCTGCTATATCAGATGCCTGAAACCATTTGAACTAATTTCATTTCATTTTCTCTCTCCTACAATCTCCAATTATGACACTAGCTAATGAATGGGTTGCATCATGCGATTTCTTATACTACTATATACATAAGTTATATCGGTCCTATGTAGAGTCAGTTGGCTTGTGTTAACTCGTAATATCCATCAGATTATTATCTGTAATTATGTACATTCGTTGGAGGATCCGTTAATACCTTAATAATATCTAATGGATTATGCTACATAGTAAATATGTACTATTTTCTTTGAAAAAGTGGCGATATAGAATTTGACCTCCATCACTTTGTAATATTTTGTGTGTATGTCACATTGTTTTAAAACCCGGCCGTTACGAGAGGAATCCAATGTCGTTTTAGTCCTATTTAACGGCAAGAACGCATTATAACGAATGTGGAGCGTAACGGACGTTGCTTTTTTTTTTTTGGGCAGTTAAATTGAGGGAGTGTTTAGGAGTTTGTTATGCATATTTCTAGAATGTATCGAAGTGAATTTAGTTGTAGCTGGCTTGAGGTTGGGATGACCATCAACATTTCTCTTGCATGCATCGCGCCAGCTGTAGGATCGCTCTACCTGTCTTGACCAAGTTGGATCTTTTCTAGAATTCCACCTGGATTGCAATGCTTAAATATCAAGCCGTGGTTTCATTTATGTCAAGTCTATTAATAGAAGTTAGATTTTTGGGCATCTTAATGTTATACTAAACATTGTAACACATTCAATGCCACCACGGAAATCTTAGATGTTCCCTATTCATTCCCTTCTATTTGAGGTAAAAGTAAGATGCTAGTTGCTCGGGAATTTGGAAAGACAATCAATCACACGGAAATCTTAAGTTTGAAATGATTATAAAAGAATCATATTTTATCTAATTGGTGCGACTTTTGAATGATTATGTGTATTCTTTAACCTTGAAGTCATCAACTCGAGGAGTATATCATGAGGATGATGATCTTCCACTTAAAAGAAAGAGATACAAGTTCTGTTAGAGTCAAAAAACAGAGACAGAAGCTTACTATCGAAGATAATGTGAAAATCTGATATCAACACAATGCCCAAGTTGTGGAGGCTAAAAAATAATATTTTTTTTGTGGGGTTAGGGGTGGGGTTGGTTTACCTTCCTGAATTCCTCATAAACCCATGAGTTTCTGCTTTAAAATAAAAATGCATGTATTAGGACCAATCCATATGATAAGACATAGTAGTCGTTGGCAAATGAAAAAGTTTATTTAAATGCTACAAGAACTGTTTAGCCCTAATTAAAACTTAATAGATCTCAGTGTTGTAGAGATAATTATCAGGTGGCAACACGGGTAGGTAGGTTCAACCAAATCAAGAACTAAAAAAAGTAGAAACCTCCCAGGTATGGGGAAATCCAGCCCAACGGTGACAAATCATACCAAATGGAGCAAACCCAATTACCCAAACACTGGCAAAAGCACACCAAAATGGTCAGACCCAATGTTTTGAGTGGCTTGAAAGAGTGTTATTAACCCAATGTCTGGCTGGCTCTTTTTTTTTTGACAGCTCTGCAGTGAGTTGTTATGTAGAAGCAGTAAGAGGACTGGCATGTGAAATTTTGGAGCTGATTGCAGAAGGATTGTGGGTCCCAGACACCTCAGTTTTCAGCAGGCTCATCAGGGACGTTGATAGTGACTCACTCCTCAGATTCAATTACTATCCACCTCTCAAGGATAGGGACACGTCTCCATCCTCATTTCATCATCACCATCATCCTCACAATAATAAGATTGGGTTTGGAGAGCATTCTGACCCTCAGATCTTGACCATACTGAGATCCAACGATGTGGGTGGCCTCCAAATCTCCGTGGATGATGGAGTGTGGGTCCCCGTCTCTCCTGATCCCACTGCCTTCTGCGTAATTGTGGGTGACGTGTTACAGGTGGGTGTCTCTCTCTCTGCTTTATCTTCCTCCTCTTTATAAATTGTAATCATAACAATCTTAAAAGGAAGAACCGACTGATAGGAACTGACACTGAAACTAAACTGGAATCACTGCAAACTGTAGATTTCAGAGCTATTGGATTGACGTGATAATCAGTTTGTGCCTATGGATATGGATATGGTGGTACCTGCACATCAGTTCCCATCCAATGAGCCAAAAAAAGGAAAGCCACATAATAATTTACCTCTATGACTCTGTACAGCATGGAGGAAGTTTACTTGGTTTGGTGGACTTCGGTCACGTCAGGCATTATGTCCTTCCCCTTATTATTGGGATTAGACTTGGCTACTCAAAAATTATTTTAGTTTTGTATTCAATGTTGGTGTCAAGCTAGGATAAAAAACAGGATTAGTCTAGCGTCGGACTTATCATGATGAATAATTAATGATACCCTGAATTGTTACTGTTTCCCAACATGAATACCCATTCTTCCCCTCCCAGTCTTAGAATTTTATTTGAACTTTTCTTAAAACTCGAATCTTGTTGTATGTACATAACTAATATTTAATGTCTTGTGTGCATTTTGAAGGCAATGACAAATGGAAGGTTTCTAAGTGTGAGACATAGAGCCTTGGTTAACTCAAACAAGTCTCGAATGTCCATGGCCTATTTCGGAGCTCCACCACTCCATGCAAGGATTACTTCTCCACCAGAGTTAGCAACACCCCAGAAGCCCCATTTTTACAGACCTTTCACTTGGGCAGAGTACAAGAAAGCTACATACTCTCTGCGGCTTGGAGATAGCCGTCTTAATCTTTTCAGGGTGCAGGCAGATGATGAAATTACAGAATAGTGTACCAGTACTCCTGAGTAAACATGAAAAGATGAAGGTTATTTTTGTCTTTATAACCCCAAAGGGAAATTTTGCTTGTAATTATCCCCACAGTTTTTGCTTGTCAGGGTGGTTATATTTTTTGCTTTCTCTTCTTGTAATTTGATCATCAATGGAAAATCCTCTCTTGTTAAGTTCAGTTTACAAGTTTTTTTTTCAGTTCAACGGTCGTGATTATCTAAGTCAGTTTACGCGTATTTCGATTAATTTTTTTTTCGATCCGATCAAAATCAAGTAATTTAAACCTGAATTAAAGTATTAATAAGGGATAAAGTTGGATTCAATGTATGTTGCAACAAGAATAGACCACACCAAGGGATCAATCAAAAATAGGTCATTTAAACTTGAATTAAGATATTAACGAGAGATAAAGTTAAATTCAATGTATGTTGCAACAAAAATAGACCACACTAACGGACAGACAAGTTGATTAAAAACCACTTTATAAACAGAAAGTCCTCAATCCTAGTGTTTCCTTCGGGGCTACAGCCTACCCTATTGATTTATCTCGATTATTATGTTGAAACATATAAAAGGGGTAATGCTAGACTGATCAGAAAATAAAGACCAAAACTATGGACCAATGTTGTATTACCATAAAATTGTGCTGTTACTGGTGATACCACATAATTTAGTCCATGATTTTGGTCTTTTCTTTGGTCAGTTTGGCAATACTCCAATAGTCATCCCAACATACATAAGGGATAGATTACATGCACCTAAGAAGGTAAGTCGGTTGCTGTAGAAGAGACCCAAAAAAAACGCTCAAGGCATAGGCAACCTAACTTGTGGTACAGAGAATTCAAAATCACAAAGTTTCCCCAAATCATCATTGCAATTGTTCATAGGCTTCCAAAAAAACATAAGCCCCGTACCACGAATCAGTAATGTACATCCATTAGTTGTATGTCAAATACGTTACATAAGACGTTATACACTACTATAAAATACATAGCACCAACTAAACAAGCTATAATCTGAATTATGCATCATGTCCCTTCTTGAACCATCTAAACATGTTTAGCTTCTAGGTAGAAAAAGCCTCTTCTTTTTCTTTATTCAGTTTCCCACCGGTCAATATGCTAGTCAACTCTACAATCTGAGATGGGATTTCTGTTTAGACAACAATCTGAGATCTAGCAGCAAACCGTGAGCACTTCTTTCGACCAGTCTTGCCAAGTGCACAAACACAATTCTCCAGGAGCTCGTAATCCTCCTCCCAAAACAACAAGGATGCCATCTCCGGATTCTTTAGCAACATCTTTGAGGCCAGGAACCCAGCAATCGTCCATGTCTGAAAAAGTCGGGATTGTTTGCCAATAAACCTCCCAGTTCGCGTGTCATAATATTCAGGCCACTGATCTGTACCAAGCCTCTTCTCAGCCAGATCAACTGCCTTTCTTGCTAACTCTGGCCTTCTCATCTTAATGCAGGCCAATGTGAACTGCAACAAGGAAGAAGATCAGAGAGGACAGACAAACAAGAACCCTATGGCATGACTACCTTCACTATTACTATATACCCCTACACACTTGATTAACAGTTGCTTCATCTAATGGGCCCTAATTTTTTGTTAATGATGTTGCTAATATTGATGATAATGGATCAAATTTTAACTTGTTCCATGAATTTCGGCTGCTATTCATTATCTTCCATTTGCAGTAAATAGTGGGCAAGCATACCTGCCACAGCAGCGTTGGCCAGGATCCACCATTATGATACGACCATGGGCTGCAGATGATCAAAGAAATCAGAATAAAAATTTATTACAAAAATCTGATATGCTATATCTGACACATTCTAACAATATGTAGAATATGCAAGGAAAGCAGAGAACTTGTGGAGCCTCACGTATTCTTAGGGTCACTGCCAGTGATTATACGCCATTCCTCGTGCTCAAGAGCAGGGAAACAGATCTTCAGAGGCATATGTGCAACGAGATCATCCCATTTATCTTCAATCAAATTTAAAATATCCTCATTCTGTTCGGGGGTACCCAACGATGAAATGATGGCCCAAAGATTTCCGAGCATGAAAAACCTAAAATCCATATGAGCAGGTTGTAAATTGCCAATGAGATAGCCACCAGTCTCAGGAATCCAGTCTACAAGCCAAGAAGGAATTTGATCTGGATAAATATTGAACTTGTTGATGGCATCAGTAGAGTACTCCTCTGTTTTGTAACGATATATCTCATTGATCTTCTTCATGTCAACCCAATAGTACTCTCTAATATGAAATGACAGTGCGCTGAGTCGGTTATTGATGGCTGCAACCAGATTTTTGGTTGCATCATTAACAGTGAGCATCTCACGGGAGCAGCGCAGAGCTGAGTAAAATAAAGCCTGCAATATACTAAAATGTTAGATTGTGAAATAGTTGACATAAGGAGAAGCATGTTGAAATAGGTGCACAATACATCAACAACATATCATGACAAACTACGGAATGAAGTCTATCAAGAATTGAGGGCTTTCCTCGTTCATTTTTTAGTTTTTCAAGCCCATGAGTGTGAGGTCGAGTGTATTGTAGGGTGGCAGTGGCAGATCAGAAGTTCCTCCACCACTCAGACAGAGCAATCATACGTGATTGAAGCCCAACAACCCCTAACACGTATATGTGAATAAATACACAGAGATATATACATGCAAAAAGTGCATTTATGTACCAAAAAAATATATACATGCAAAAAGTGCATTTATGTACCAAAAAAATATATACATGCAAAAAGTGCATTCTATGTACCGAAAAAATATATACATGCAGAAAGTGCTGTCATTGCAACTTCAGTGGCATAACCAGCATTAACTTGCACCGCATGTGGTATGAAAGAGAAAATATCCTATTTGATCAAATATACCACATAATCTCTAGAGGTCCATTTAGCATAACCTCACTCACTTGGATTTCAAGAGGGTGTCCATGAATACCCATCCTCCTATCGATCATGCAGGAACCATCAGTGACCAATAGAGTAGGAAACATGTCAAATCCATCAGTTAAGCAGAGATTGAGTATTAGTCTTATGCCTGTCTGCACATCAACCCTCTCTTGTAATGAATAGTCACCTGTGATTTTTCCAAAAGCTCTCAACAAAATAATCCACCAAAGCCCTGTCCAAGAATCAACATACCAAAAAATCTCAGATTTTAATCCAAACTCGGAGTAGGAGTGCTAAACAACTAATGCTGGCATCATTAATGCAAATAACAATGAAGCAGTAACTATAACGGATAAATAGAAAACAGTACAAGAAAAATCAGCTATGAAGCAATCTGGAAGCAAAAATTAATACAATACACAGCTTATTTACACTAAACAACTGATAAGATATATACATTCAACAGCAATTGGCATCTTACCAGAATCAACAGGAGCAACACGACCAATGGCCGATTCACCAAAATCTGGATCCAAAACGTCCTCAGATTCTCCATCTCTTCCATCAAGTGGCACAGTTCTGACTTTAAAACTTGCTGGCATCAACCCTTGCCCAGGGCTGTGGCAGTCGACGGTTTTCTCCCAACTCTGAGTAACAAACACGGAAAATATTCAGGTTAAGAGACGATCAGACAACCATCAAAGCTCATGCCAGACTTGATGAGGTAACAAGGGATGAATAAATTTCTACAGCATTCGTAGAGCTGCACAGTAAGCTCATCCATAGGCACCTCACCAAATCTTTGTCCAATTAATTTCTAGGGTAAAGCTTGGTGAGAACAATTATTTATCAATATAACAGTCAACAAAAAGAATATAACACTACTCTAATCAGGTGAATTGGGTTGGGTGCGTTGGATGACTTCTTACTGCTATAAAAATCATATCAGGGTGAGGGAATAATTGAATGAAATCAAGTGAGAAGATAGATAAGAACCTGTAACTGCAATGTATGAAGCAGAAAGTTCTTGACAATCTCTCCTTCTCCATTAAGCAAGAATGCGAGAGCTGATGGGACAAAATCACGGATGAAGACCTGATCATAGTTCACCGGTTGCTTATCAGCTGGATCATTAGCCGCAATAGTCCCCACTGGGTTTCCACAATAATTTACAACTGTACTTCGAAGCAATTTCCAAGCTTCTTTTTCAATGTCAGACACAGCTCTCTCCCTGTTCAAAACCTTCGTTCCGCTTAAATCTGTTAAATTATCTTTATTTACATTTGAAATATTAACCTCTACACCAGGAATTTCTTCCTTTTTTTCTTTCACTACATCTGGGTTTCTCTCCACTCTCTCAATGATCAAAGGCTTTACACTCAAACCACCTTGAATGAATAAATTTTCAAAGCTTTTATCACTAACGTTAGCTTCAACAGAAGTCGAATAGTTCCTAATATCCGACGCCACATTCGCAATAACCCTAAAACACTTTCTACTACCTCTATCAACCCGACAACCTGTAAGAACCCTAGATTGTCCCCAATTCGAATCGGACCCACAAAAAGCCATCCGATTCGATTCAATTATGCTTTTAACCCCAAAAATCTTATTGCTAAAGCTGTGGAACTGACGAAAATCGTTTAATCTAGATTGTGATTTCGACAAATTGTTAACAATTGAATGATTACATTTCGGAAATGGTAATCCGAAAATGGAGGAATTTCTACAACTAATTAAGATACTACAACATGGCTTCATTGCTGATATTCCAATACAACTGCTGCTATTCATTGCTTGAACTTTGATGAGAAGTGTATCGGTTTACCGGAAAATGAATTTATTTGGAATTGAAAAAGTATACGTGTATGTAATATGTATATACAGATCCGTTAATTTTGAAAAAATTATATGAATTAACAGAAATTAAATATACATACAGTTATGCAAAATGATATTTTTAGAGCTGGAAAGACAATAAATGCAAATAGAAATCTTTGAATTTTACTTACAGATTGATCGAGAGAGAGCGTGTCTGACGATGAGCAGAGATTTTCAAGGCGTTGGGCGGGGGGTTATATAGACGGAAGGAAGATGAAGCTTCAAGGAAACAAGGTGGGGGACGACTGAAACGTGTTCAATGTTGTGCATTTACTATATTAGTGCATTTACTTTATTAGCCTTGCACGTGGAAGTTGATTTTCAATTGCCAAACCCGGTGTTACGAAATCACACTCCTTTACCCCGTGAAGTAAGATAGTTTTATTAGAATTAATTGTATTGTTGGTACGAGGATATTGAAAATCAATTACTTCCTTGTCTAATCTCGGTATGAAAGATTTATCTTTAATTAAGTCAGAGAAAAAATTAGTCAAAATATACATAAACTGACCCGAATACCCTTAATTATTGAACCCAAAAAAAAATGTAATCAAATGATCTAGTAGTGGTAACAATGAAATCAAAAAACTTACCAATATATTTCGGTGTTGAAAGTCAACAAAACTAATAAGAACATGATACAAGAGAAAAAAAAAAAAAACAATAAAAGACAAGTCTCACCCTTGTAGAGAAAAATAACACAAACTCTATAATTATGTATCCTATAAATTATCAATTCCAATTAAGTAAAAATAGTTACTAGAACTTTTTGAATTATTGCCTTTCATGTCCTGTAATTCTTGGAAATTTGTAATATGGTATTTTCGGTTGAATTAAAGAAAAAGAAAAGAGAAATAAATCGTAAATTGAGAAAAAAAAAAAAGGCGTTGTAAAAGATTTTTTTTTGGAAGGGCGAAGCGGGGGTAGGTGAAAAAGTTTAAAAAGGTATTTCTTTTGGGGGGTAGAAATGACATTTCAGGAAATGATGTCTAAGTGGGTCAGATAATAGTTGGTGCTGAAACAGTATAAAAAAGTGTGCGGAAATCCAAGAAAGCAACGTAGCCTGCATCCTCCACGTCATTCCTATATCTATATAACACCTGAGTATGGGCCCAAATCTCCTACCCAACCCAAGTCTATCACAGCCTTGGGCTCACTTAGGCCTATAGGGTAATGCTACAAGATTTTATGGCCCCATAAAAGTAAGGAGTCCAGTTCACAACACTGTGGATTTGGGCCCAAATTTCCCAGTCCAGTCAATCTTAATCTCCTGACTTAGCCTAGTCTAGTCAATCTCAATCTCCTGACTTAGGTCATTCCGACAGGTCTGGGTTCGGCCCAAATAGCCCAGTCTCGTAAATCATAATCTCCGGACTTAGCCCAGTCTAGTCAATCTCAATTTGCTGAGTTAGGTCATACATCGGCCCATATACATCTGGGGTTCACAACACTTTGTGGCCCTTTTCAACTAAACAAAGTCATAAAAACAAGACAAAGTACAACAGCAACCATAAAGTACGCGGGTATTATTCCATCGTTAATAATGTTTGTATAATAACCAAATTGTCTATGTAAAGGTAACATTTTAGTCCAAAACCACTTGTGGTTATAAAAGAAAACCACAACCGATTAAATTTGTAAATGTTCAGACATTTCATGTGTTTAATTTTTTTCAAATGTATTTTCAATTTTCTAATGATTTTTTTTTCTTGGCTATATAGTATTTTCACTATAAACAATTGTTAGTTATTGAATTTGATTTGACTTGGCAAAGAAATAAACTCAGAAAAAGAAAAAGAAAAACCTAGGGATAGCCCAAGAATACTTTAAGACTTGAAGTCCTATGCAGAAATTTTAGATGGGGCCGTAATTATTTTTAGATAAATAATATAGTTATTTTTATTTTAAATTTAAATTCATATATATATATATATATAGGATCATGAAAGCTTCGCACCATAATTTCTAATGAATACTTTTTATTTGGACCGTTAGATCATAATCTAGCATCCACTAATCAAAGATGTTACGTAAACACCTACAATAGTTAGTTATGCATTAGAAAGGAAACGTCAAAATCACATTCATTATGGTAATAGTAATACAAGGAAAGTATATTTAGTACTATCAGCAATGAACCAAATGCATTGTACGTGAATAATTTTTATATACAAAATATTAATAAAAAGTATTAGATATATGTGTACTTACATAAAATATCATCTCAAATTTATCAAAATTATATTTTTATTACTCGTATTATATTATAGAATTTGAAAAATATTGTATGTTTTCAACGATACGTTGTTCTAATTATAAGAAAAAAAATAAAAATAAGTTATTTAAAATTCATTTGATTAGGTTTCATCTTATAATTCATTAAATAAAATAAAATAATTGTCAATATTCTAATTAATGTCTACAATAATTAGGAATTAATTAGATCAATAGGGATAAAATGTTGAGTTAATAACACTTTCGGTTTCTAAAACATGCACTTTTTATTAGTTTAGCCCTCAAGTTATAAATTTTATCAATTTGGTCCCTAAAATATTCAATTATTATTTAAATGATTCTTAACTAGATGGTCCATTAAGTGTTTTTTTGACGAAAGTATGTCATTCTTACAGATAGTATCACGTGACCAACACGTGATCACTTTTGTCTAAAACTTAAAAGACTATCCGTATATGGATCATTTTAATATTAACTAAATATTTTAGGGACCAAATTGATGTAATGAGAATCAAATTGACAAAATATGTAGATTTCAGTAACTAAAAGTGCTATTAACCATAAAATATAATATACTACTCTATAATATATATTTTAAAATAATATTAAAATTCTAAAATTCAAGTTTTACTAAAAAAAACTCTTAATAAAACATAAAAAAATTATTGTAATTGAAGAATTATGTTGATTTAATATAAATTATTTAAAAAAAAAACTACATAAAAGATTATTTTTTATCTTAAAAAATGAAATTGTTGAAATTTTGGATGAAAAGAAATAAACACATGTAAACAAAATGTTATCGTTATATTTGAAATGAGTAGTATAAGATTGATAAAATTTTTAAAGATTTTTTGAATATTTTATTGAAAGCTATAGTGATTCATATATTTTTTTATGAGTAACGTAGTCAATTAATCATAGATACTAGTATTTATACATAGTAAATAGAGAATTAAAAGAGATATTAGGGGTAATTTGGAGATTTAAACGTATAAATTTATGATGGTAATTATCAATTTAGATAATTAACTACAGAAGGATAATATGGTATTTAGATTCTTTATAAGAATCAAATACTCAATAAAAAGTTTTTCATGCTAATACAAAAGTTTCATTCTTTATTAGTAGTATAAATGAAAAAAAAAATAGATAAATATATGCATAATATTATCTTTATAATTGAAAAGATTAATGATCTATTGATAAAGTTTTTAAATACTTTATTGAAAACTATAATAATTCATATATTTTTTTAAGGGTAACATAGTTAATTAAAAAAATTTCATAGATATTAATATTTATACAAAGATAATAGAAAATTAAAAGAGATATTAAAGGGTAATTTAAAGATTTAAATATATAAGAATATGATTGTAATTTATATATTTAACTATAGAAAGATAATGTGGTATTTAAACTTCTTTGTAAAGGTATATTAGTAAATTAAATTTTTTTTATTTAAGATACTTTTAATAAGTGTGCGTAAATCCAAGAAAGCAGCATAGCTGCATCCTCTACGTCATTCTTATATCTATGTAACACTTGAGTATGTATGTTTATTGGGAGGAGTTTGTATTGATTTGTCTAAATTCAGGTTTGACCAAAGATGAGATTCAAATAAGAGATTCAATACAAAATACTATTCATACCCATGTTTGACATGCGCGGGAATATATGACTATTATGATAATACATTTATATTTAAATGACTATTATGCCCTTAACTAATTTAATCTAAACATGGGTATGAATTTATAGAGGGTATAAATATCATTTGAATGTCAAACCCCCAAACCCACATATAAAACCCACCCTCCCATAGGTTTCATGAACCCATGAACAAGAGTTTCATGACCGGCCAGATTTCAAAACCTACGCTAAATTCATAGTTACCAAACATGGGTTTAAGGTGGTTTAGTCTCAAACCCTTCCAAACCCACGTACCAAACAGCCCTTAATGCCTTGGGCTCCGCTTAGGCTGATAGGGTTATTGTACAAGTTTTTTATGGCCCCATCAAAGTAAGGAGTCCAGTTCACAACACGTGTGGGTTTCGGCCCAAATAGCCCAGTCTAGTCAATCTTAATCTCTTGACGGAGCCCAGTCTAGTCCATCTCAATCTCCTGACTTAGGTTATATAGCCGAAATTACAAAACCAATTTGTCAAAGTCTTAGGAGTAACTTTTTTCTTGTTGTTATATATGCTTGTTTTTAATCCCTTCAATACTTGCGATTAGTAGTAAGGTATTTTTTGCAAAAGACTCTGCTGGTTTGTTCAAATAGACGGACCCATTCAGCCCATCTGGGTAACTTGAAAGGAAAAGGCCCATCATTAACAGATAAATATGTGCTGCCGAAGGCCTGCTGGTTTGTTACAAAATGATGGGCCCAGGCAGCCCATCGGGGCTACTATAATAATTTCCGATTTCGAATTCTGGTAAAACGATTACGATATATAACTTACAAATCAAAAAATTTAATTACAACTTAAGATATTATAATGAATCATAAAATAACGTGATTGACCATGAGAAATATAATCTTTAAAGGTTTAATTACATATTTTAATGATCAATTTATAATTAATTAAGGTTATTCGTTATCAAGATTCTAATGTTTCTTAATCGAATTCATTATTATAATCGATGATCAAATTCTACGATATCGACTCTCACTGAATACCAGTTCAACAACACCTTGCAATACATATATTATTATATCATCATCTGTTTGAGCCATGTTTATATATAGTTTTCAATTCGAGCTTCAGTCAAGGCATTGGGCTGCTAATTTCTCCAAAAACGATTTGTTTAGTAACCAAACCATGCATAATTTAGAATTAGTTACTAGATATGGTTAGTCGCTCTAATTGTATCAGTTAGTGAATAATCGATTTTTAAATTCTTTGTTAATCTCCATATGTTTTGGTGTTGAACCATCCACTAATAAGAGTCTAAGGCTCCCCAGCAGTAGCATTGTGCTTTT